GGAAACGAAGATGTGACACCCCTTAAAGAAACTACAACATGGCCATGGGATATGCAGCTGTGCAGCAAGAGCTGCAGCATGCCATAAAATCGAGTCCTTTGATTTTCACCAAGTTTAGCATATGAAACACAGAATTCTTCTTCATGGCCTTTCCTTCCTTTTGAGTCGCAAACATCTCTCAGAACACATAATACCCTCTGCTCCCATGGGTATAATCAAATGCGCATAACAAAATGGAAAGTTTTGTGCGAGAGGGAGCCAGAAAGAGAGAGGGAGAGAAGCTTGCAACAGTGCACAGGAGGGGCATTCGCCATTTTGTATGTACAGCCAACGACCAGCGTCAAAAAGTGACGCGACGCGACGCAACGCAACGCGTCGCTGCTGCAGTCTTGTCCTTGAACTTGGCAAACATTTTTATTGTTTTTTGCAGCACAACCAAAGGACACACACACACACACACGCGCGCGCAAATCTGCTTCAAATGCGAGCAGGCAGAGGCGCAGCAGAGACCCACAACTGCAGCTGCAATGCTGACCGAGGCCAGTGGCAGAGGAGGACGCAACCCAAACGCATGCAACGTTCCTCTATAGGGCTTCCCATATGGCAAATATTTTATATAACTTGTATGTATGGGTTTGTTCATGAAAGATTAATGCATTTGTAGGCATGTTTCCAGCGAAACGAAGCATTTATATTCTAATTAAGAATTATCTGAATCATGGCTAAAATTGTACATAAAAAAGAAGGTATATAGTATAAAGTGTAAATTTTAGCAAGCATAAATAACATCAAGAGGACTGATAAGAGTTTTTGGAACTATAAAAATAATATTCCAAAATGATCAAATAACTTGATACAATTCTTTCCTGAAACAGTATATTCGAAGAAGAGTCAACTGGAAATTTACTTTATTACCAGACCAGATCATATGATAAACTCTCTCCCAAATCCATGGCAAAACGAATTTCAAAAGCTAAAACAAAGTATCCATGGATTAGTTTAAGGGGAAATACCTTATCAAAGGCATTTCCGACACGTGTTGACTGTTGGGATTTCTTAGAATGAACTTAGGGCCGCCGTTGCTTATCATGCCCCAACGACAATAATATTTTTTTCTAAATGGTAATTCCAAATAAAATAAAAACTCACAAAAAGCAACAAATTACTGACCACAGAAAACTTTTTCGCACGAAACAAAAAATATATATTATAGTAAGAGGAAGGCGAAGAGGGACGGGGCAGATCGAGTCCGAGTCATTTGGCAATTAGAACAAAGAAATAAGAATGAAAACAGAAACTGCTATAAAATTTTGTTAACCAAGGTCAACATTTTTTGTTGTATTTTTTCGAGCATTTATAAAAGTAGCAAAAAAATATCAGAGATAGAGCTGCCGCTGAAATATATAGGGATATATGTATACAAACGTATGTACATATGTATGTACACGAGAGAGTATCATGAGAACTTGATAAACAAACAGGCAATAGAATCAACAACAACAACAACAACAAAAGACTTAAAAGAAAACGTCCCAGCAACAATACCCACTTTGAGCAAACGCAATCACAACAACAAGTAAGAGGAGAGCTAGAAATCGGGGGAATTTTGCACTAAATGATACCCATTAATTGGTGGTATTTTGTGTGCGCTAATTGCAGCTTATAGACTATTCAAATAACCGAGAGATAAAGCGAGAGCACAGAAATCGAATAGAATAAACTTTCAAATTTGTATGTGCGGAAACCCTTCCCTTTTGCTGTGACATGCCATACACCCGATAACCATACATAACCCCTTGCACATCCACAAGTTTATGGGGTATATAAAAATATGGCGGATTTTTCAGTAGGTAGAACAACGAGCAGAGGCAGAGGCAGAGGCAGAGGCCGTCCGTCATTAGATGTGGTGGCGAGGCGAGGGTGCCGTGTGCCTTCGCACAGATACACAACTTTTTGGCAGCACGCACACACACATTGACAAATTTTTGTGCACACACACACACAGATACTCGACGTACATTACGCATGTCTGCGAACCGGCTTTTTCATATATTTTTTTTTGGCATTAGAATATACTGCCGTATACTACGTACGGCAGAGCTTGTTTGTATTTTGTGTGTGTATCCCTCGAAAGATACTCGTATCCAAAAAACAAAACAAAAAAAAAACAAAAAAGAAATGTTTCTTCTTGTTGCCTGTGTGCGTTTCAATACGAAATTTAATGGGGTAGGCATAGGGTCGGGTCTCTGGTCTGGTGTTTAATAAATGTCTCTCTGTCTCTTGTCTCTGGTTACGGGTTTTAGCTGCTCCTGCTCACGGGTTTGTCATGTGATTTCTCCTACCCACCCTTCATGATAAGCAGAAGTTTATTTTTTTATATTTTTTGTGAATTAACTGGCAAAAAACAAACACAAAATATTGTCAAAAAAAAAATTAATGAACAGTCCGATAAGGCTTTCTTTTTTATGTGTTTGGTGTGGGGCTGTGGCTGTGCGCCTTCAATGATATTTTATGATAGAGACAAAACACTTGAAAGCAACAAAGTGCTGCATAGAGTTCTATAAATATCGGGTGTTAATTATATTGGTCATGTATACTCGGGCAGCAGTCTCAAGAGTGCCAAAAATACTCGTGAAAGCGATTACTTTGTCCATAAAGTGTGGGTTCAAAGATGAAAAAGTACGATAAACGTTCAACGTTAAACAGAGTGAATTTATATGACATAATATCGTGACAACTGTCAAGGTTTTTTCGCATGCCATTTTAATGGTTAAATCATTTCCATTGATAACTAAAGCATTTTGGTAAACAAAATGAGTTGCAGGCTTATATGCTGCTTATATGCTGCTCTCCTCTTCATTCTGCTGCAACCAAATATTTACTATCCGACCCACATTTATGTATTATCAATCTGCTACATTTCCGCCCACCAATTCTTAGGTTTACTCATTCATAATGACTAGCCGAAAAATAAAAAATAAATATATACAGAATATATCCAGAATATAAGCAGATTCGCTATCAACGGGAAGTACTACTTCCTCATAAAATGGCATCCAACTAGAGTTTCGAAAGATAAATTTAAGCACGGTTCCGATTCATTGCATTCCATTCATAAAAGAAGAGCTGCTCCCACACGATTTTAAGGTATATTTAAATATCATCGGAGCAGGTGATAAGAATTCCACCAATCGGCCTGCTGCTGCTGCTGCTGCTGCTGCTCCGATAACTGTCAACAGGTGGAACGTGAATGAACGCAGCTACGACAACTCAAGAACCCAAGAACCCGGACCAGCGCGACCCGAAACGAATGAACAGGCAAAAAAAAATACAATATACAAATAATCAACTTTGGCGAATATTATTTTTTTTTTTTGCGATAGCGATAACAGCATTAACTTTTGTGTTCTTTTGTTTCCGATAATCGGTATATTTTTTGTGTGATTTTTGTTGCTGCTGCTGCTGCTGCTGTTGTTTCCCAGCGACAACAATTTCCTGTGCACATAAATACCTCAATATCAGTTTACAGAGATTAAAAAAAGAAACGATAGGAATGCTCGAAAAATTTCTTGCCAGTTAATGTTCTTTCGTGATTTGTTGTTTTTGTTTATGTGTATTCCCTCGGGGCCTGACGCTGGCACTGACCTTCAGACACGAAATTAGCTAAAATATATTTTAGATAAAATTCGCTACACACAATGGTACAGTGCGTTACGGTACTGGATGGGCGCCAGTTGCAAAGACTCAAATTAGTCGCAAAAATTCTTTTTTTTTTATAATTTATGGAATTTATTATGGAATTATTATGGAATATTTCCGGATGGAATATTTCCTAGTTATCGGATGAGCAATTAGTAATTTATCGCATATATTCTGCTAAATCGATTAACTACAATAAATCCATTGAATTCGCCTCGTCATGATAGCTTTGATTGAGTAAAATGAGTCTCAAAAAACCTTTTATAAACACTCGAAAATACTTATATTTAAATCGTATTTTGTCTTCAATGTATTCATTTAATCTTTCACCGTTCAAGTGCCTAATCCATAATAAATTGACGATTCTTTATAGCTCTCCATTTCTATCAGTTGGATCTTCAAGAGGAATCACGCGTGTGGCCCACACTATCACACGTTTATAGCGCAAGTCGCATGATCCTGTCAAGTGGGACCCCGTAAAAGTGACTCACACCCGAAACTGAATGACTCACGGAATGCTTAGGAAACCCCTCTTGAACATCCATCGAAGCATTATCAAATTTCGAATACCTAGAGCGATATAATACATTTATAATGTATATATATATTGGCCTACTGTCATGGTGACTCAAGCAGGGTCCGTTTTTTAGGCTAATTAAGAATTGAGTCACCCTCGGGAATCGGTTTAGAACAGGTGCCCCCACCCCCCTCCCCAACGCATATCTGGGGGTCTGTCTGTCTGTCTGTTTTTCTTTATTCCAAGAGTGCACTGCATTGCGGTAATCGGTGAAATAACCATGAGGTATCGTGAGTATGATGGGTAAAGTAATGCATGCATCATGGGGCGTATGTGTGATTTTTTATATTTGTTATTCTGATTGCTCATTTATAGATCTAGTGAGATACTCTTTTTGTGGCTTATCATTGACGTAATAATTTTGGGTTTGACGTAGGTTTCGAGACGCACAAACGGGAATACATTTTGAGGGGAGTTTTTCATTGTATTACGTATACGCAAGGGCTGGCCAGAACAGGTTGAAGAGCGTCGTCGTTATGCCATAAAAATCTACGTTAAACAGACACCCACGAACCCAATGGGTATTTTCAGCTGTAAAAGCGAGATTTCATCCCAAATGCCATGTCCTTTAACCCTCGTACGTGTAGTATTCTGTATGTAAACATTTTTGATATTTTTTAAGCTTCCAAATGTAATTTTTTTTTTTTTTAAATTAAATGCTTTTCCATTTATAAATTAATTAATTTTGAATATTTTTATATCCGTTTCCAAAACTAAAACTCACCATAAAATTGAACAGAAAAATCCACAAATTTCAGTTTGATATTCCTCCTTGAAGGCAAAAGTTGGTAATCCAAAAAGTTGGCTTGTTGGATTGTGTTAACGGTTGATGAAAATGCTTTCGATTTTTCAGACACTTGTTGGTTAGGGAAGGGGGTGTGTGTATTACTGTTACGATTGTTTTGTGGGAGTCGCGCGTCCAAACCCGCGAATCGACAAGCGGCAAGTGTTTCTCATCAAGAACTTGATTCACTTTGTCGCGTTCTTCAGTCGGAATCGGAATCGTAATCGTAATCGTCGCCGCTGCCGCTGCGTTGCTGCGCCGATGTTCTCTTTTCTGTTGTCGCGCCGAACACGTCTGCACTTGACGCTGACCAACAATATTTTGTGGCTGTTTTGCGTTAGAGACCCCGAGACCGTTAGAACAGGAACATGTCTCTTCGAGCGAGTCGAGCGATCGCCGAGAGCAGGCAAAAGCTTGCGAGAGCGAGAGACGGACGGTCTTAAACGCGTTCGTGTGACGTTCGTATGCCGTTCGTGGCTATTCGGGTTTGCTACTCGCTGGCGATTCGGCCTCTCGCCTGCTGCTGCCTTTGATATTATTATAAAAAAATGATTATCAAGTTGAAAATTGTATTTCGGTTTTTTGCGCTCGTCTCTGAAATTAGTTGTCGAGTTGTTGCTTTTTGTTGTATTTGTATTTCCGTATATGCTTATGTTTATGTGTGTGTGTGTGTGTGTGTGTGTCTGTGAGATTGGTATTTATTATCTGCTGAGCAACTATGATTCTGGCTGTTGTTTCTGCCGTATTGCGCACATTCACACGCCACTATAAACAATATTGACCTAGGTTATATACATATGTACGAGTACATATGTATTGTTGGGCAGGCTATAGGCTATATACTTGTAGAAAGGGAGCTTTGATGCCTTCTCTTTGTTTCTCTTTTTGCCTTTGATTTGTAGCACTTTTTTGTATGCTATTTTTTTTTAGCAAATTTTCGAAATTATAGTATTTGATTACGTGCACTTTTTAACCTTTAAATATTTAATGTAAATTTTTCCAATTTGTTTCTGTGTATAAAGAGCTTTTTTCTTATTTGATTTGTAGCCCCTTTAGTTTGTTATTAAAACGTTAGAGGAAGTTAAATTATGTTTGTCGTCAGTCTTTTGGTATTATTTACACACGCACGTTCCAATATATTCTGGGAAATTGCACTTTTGTTGTTGTTTGTTGTTGCTGTTGTATGCCTAACCTTGAACTTATAGATTTTCCTTCTTTTTGGTTATATTTTTTGTTTCTATTAAGGCAAACGAGATCAATTGGTTTGTTTAGTAATTTACAGCTGTTTTTTTTTTCACGGTTACACGGTTACAAAAAAAAGCTTGCTAATACTACTCGAAGTTCAAGTTCCCCGTTACTGCTGTTGCTTTGCTGTTGCTGCTGTTGCCGCGTCCGCTGCTCGTCGAGAAATAAGAGATAGAGAACGACCGCGAACGTCGGCATGTATTTTGCCGAGAACAAAGCTGACTGCGGCAGCGACTGTGGCAGAGACGGCGACAGCGACAGCGACGCTGACGTTGCTATTGACTTTGGGCAGAATGAAAGCTGTGTGTGTGAGTGCTAACCGGCATTTGCAGCAGCAGCTGCCTCTCACGCACACACCTACACACAATGTATGTATTTGGCAATTGCTTTTTGTTGCTGCTTCGCTCTGCCTCTGCCTCTGTTCACTGTTCGCTCGTACATACATACATATGTATGCTCAACTTACTCAATAAAATTTTTATTATGATATCTACGCACACGTTCAGAAAAAAACAAAAAAAAATGCCGAAATTTTCGTTGATTTTGAATTTTTGCTTGTATTTTTGGGCTTTCAGTTCTTATCGCGTTTGCTGGTTCGTTCGTTCGCCATTTGCCGGATGACGTACGTATGTATGTATGTATGTACATATCTCCGTTTTTGAACCCGCTCAATTTTAGATTTGTTAACAAAGAATATCATCAGAATGGAGCAGGTGGGTAGCGCTGTACCTGTACCTGTACCTGTCACCGTTCAAAGTTCACAATGGATAAGGAGATTGAAAACTGACGTGGATGCACAATGGAGCTGCAATCAGGGCTGGAATACTGTGGGGTTTTTTTCAGAGATATTTCCAATAGATAACGAATGGAATATCATACTCTGGCGATATGTTTACTGTGGATAACTTTTTCCAGCTTTGAGATTATTTTTCAGTCTACCAAAAGAGCGACTTGTCAACGTATGTATTCTTGGGGATTGGACACTGCCAAGAGATATTGCAACCAAACCATCGTCGAACACTTCTATCCACGATATCATATCCCATCCCAGCTCGGCTTCTGGCAGCCCCTGTGTCCGTTCCATCCCAACATGAGATCATGTTCTTGGAGCTGCAGTCATTGCCCTGCTGCAACCACCCCCAACCCAACCCCCACCCCCCCGCCACCACCGTTACTGCAATGAAGTGTCGTCTCACATGTACGTTTGTTATTACAAAGAGTGTATTGACCTGAGATTTCTTTTGTGACGACGATAACGGCGGAAAGCTTACACAGAGTCGAGAGTCCGTAAAAACGTTGTCCGACAACAGCAAAAGGAATTAAAATCAAAATTATTGTGCATAAATAAAAATGAAGTCTGCTGCTGCAGTTCGGTTTTTGGGTTTCGGCGGAACCAAAAATTGAGAGATATTCCGAAAAATTTCGTTATATGCAAAAAAAGAAAGAGAGGAGAAGGAAAGAGTTCCCCCGAAGAAAGCGGCAGCGACGCTTAACGCATTTCCTCTGCAGTCAGCATTGCAGTCGGCGTCGGTGGGCTGTTGGGATGGGGGATCGAAGAGGTTAGACGGTGCAATAAATTCAAGCTTCATCCCTTTTTTCGACAACGACCAACACCAACAGAAACGGCAGCGAGCCGCAAACAAAAGCCTCAAACCCCAAATGTCTGGATACGTTGCGCCGGCAGCGCAGCAGCAGCAGCGCACGAAAAATTGTCCGCGTGGCGGTCGTGCATGGGTTTTCAACAGCATCATGAGGACGTGCAACGGTTTTCGACACCATGCTGCACATGCAAGAATAGGAGAGAAACGATGAAAAAGCAGCTAAACATGAACACAAAAAGAAATGAGCCGGCAACAGTTCTCAACATGAGTGAAGGGGTGGGTGGGGGTGTTTGTCTGTGTGTTTGCTGTATGCACAGTGGGCGTGAATGTCGTTTCGAGTGCCAAGACTTAATATTATTTTAATTAAGTGGGTGTGTACCATAAATTCTTTACTCGAACATCTAATAAAAATTTAAATATTAATATTTGAAACTATTATTGTATTCCAAGATTCTGTTCGTGTTCTTCAATTCACTTTTTCCTTTGTGTTGGTTGCTCTCCTTCTTGTGTGTCTCATCTATCTCCTTGGTCGATTTACAGTTGTTATTGTGGTCTGGAGAGAGAGAGAGTGTGTTCAATGAGAGGCTCGCTCAGAGAGGATCAAAGTAGGATAATGAGAGCGCAAGCCGAGCGTAGAGGAACTTGCTATGGTGCGCGTGGGTGAGACAGAGAAAGATACAATGCTAATTGTCTTTGAGCTCTAGTTTGCAATGCTCAGAGAGCAGTTGCGTTTGAGTTCACGTCGCAGTAATTCGGTAAATACGTGACGGTTCGATTCCGCGAAGTGAAAATAATAACCCTGACCCGAAATTTGTGTTTATAATCAATATAAAATGCAATTTAATTTTGATGGCTCATGTCTGAATATTGCCAGGGGTCTTTACCCTCCGTCAATCTATGTATTTCATGTGTGTGTCTGGGCTGCAATCGGTAAATGTTATAACTGTAATAAATGTACGAAAAGTGCGCTCATTTCCGGGTTTGACATACCAAAACATGGAAACTTCTAGACGGGGCCAACACACAAATATACATACATACATATGTACATATTCATGGTAAGTACTTTCCCAGAACTTGCAGCGGAAACGCCAAGCGTGCAAATGCATTCTTAAAGTGATTCACATCTTGATTGGGATTAAAACAGTTGTCTTGGATGGGAAATCCAAACAGCTGCGAACCTTTTGATAGCGTCCGCCACGAGTGCAAAGAAAGGGATTTATAGGCCGCCATTTATGGATCGTACATTTTAATGATGACTGTGACAAAGTCTAGCCTCTGGGCCTCGCATAACATTTGAGTGGTACGGTATCTATCATTGCGCGGGTTCCGTATCTTATCTGCTCATTATATCAGTATTTACAATATGTCCAGCGCCAAATTTAGCTTCCCGTCTGCCAAGTAGTAACCACAGAAAACTGCAAAATAGAATTGCACAACAAAATGTTGTTGGGTAATGCGATTGCGTTTCAAGTTCGTTTTGTGTCTAGGAAAGTGTTCGAGGGGTAAATGTACCCATATTATAAAAGAGGTTCGGTATCGCGTAACTAGACAATCGCATTGTAGGGAAAATCGTGTTTACAGTAACTTTAAATAAGTCCATTTGTATCACATAGTTTTGGATAATAGATCCCCATAATGTGAGCTATCTGTTTTACATAAAAAGTTTTCGGATGATCATTCATTTGAATTTCTGTGCCACAAATCTGGTAATATTTTTCAAGTGTTATTCTCCCTGAACAGCCATACGTAATAGAGTACCCCTTATGAAACATAAACAATTTCGATTTCGTAAGATTGCTAACTTGTTAGCATTGTTTACCCCAAGATAACAACGAAAATAAACTGCGTCGCCCAATTTTAATTTTCTATTCGAATCAGATATTGTAGCTGCACAAGGAAGACGCTCAGAGAGCAAGAGATTCAAGTGCAAATATTAGTGTAACCCACACAAGAGCGTATTACATCTGAAACTGTAGGTAAAGAGCATCTTTTACCACAACTTTGTAAGTATTCCCCGTCTAGGGCTTTGCTTTCCATGTGGCACAGGTTGACAGTGTCTTATCAGACGACGTGGGCTCTTGCATAACACGCAACTATTTGCACTCTCGGCTCGGCAATTTATGGCATATATCAAATGACCAACAAATTTATTTACATACATACATACAGAGCAACATATGTATGTATGTAAATTTCTTTGTAAACTTATACAGTGAACACTTGAGAAAGGGTCAACAGCCGATGTTGAAGAACATTAAATAGACTATCCAACCATGACTTGTTTTAACAAGTGAAAAAAAGAAAACCCCCTTTGCTTTAAGTAGTTCCATTATCGTTCAATGTTTTTTAAATTTTAATATTTATTCTCTTCCTTCCAGGATATGTCCCACTAAAAACTTTTTATCTTTGACTGTCCTTCCAACAGAGCTCATCCCGTACTTCTCTGTACCTTGAGGTAGCCAGCCGTAAGTACAACTATAGTAATGCCTTATTCACTGTGATGTAATTCCTATTATTGCGATTGCAATAAATTTGTTTACCAAGCGGTGCGCAATCCCAAAGAGCAGGACGGACAACAACAAGCAACAAGTATATAGTAGGACTGGGGAAGACAGAATAAGAGATATGCATGCATGTGGGAGAAAGATCCACAAAAT